GATGATATCCTCATCTATAGCTTCGTCGTGGTCGAGCATCTGCGGCACATCAACATCGTCCTCGGCGCCTGTGGTGCGCACCATCTACTCTTGAAGCGCTCCAAGTGCTCGTTGAGGCGCCATCCGTGACCTATCTTGGCCATGTCGCCGCCCAGAGGCGGTGTCGCCATGGGCGCCGACAAAGGTCGACAGCGGTGGCGGCGTGGCCTCTACCTCGCTTCGGCCCGGGGCCTTGGCGGCTTCTTGGGCTTGGCGGGATACTACTGGGAAGTTCATCGCGACTTTGGCATCATCAGCGGCCCCCTCACGTGACTCTTGCGGCGAGGCAGCGTTCGGTGGGGAGGACGACGGCAGCGTCGGCGGCTTTCGAGGGCGCTCAGCGCGCCTTGGCAGCCAGGCCCGTGCTTGAGATGCGGTTTGGCGCTACTTTACGTGGTCGGCTGCGATGCATCGGGTGCGGGGTTGGCGCCGTCCTCCACCGAGCGCGGGACCCTCGCCTACCCAGCGAGCCATTTGCGGCTTTCGCCACCTCAAGCTCGCCGCCTACGAACACGAGCTCATCGGCTTGGTGCAAGCTATGCGCCATTGGCGCCCGTATTTGTGGGGGCGCCCCTTCCTGGTTCGCACTGACCACTACAGTCTCAAATTTTTGCTTGATCAGTGTTTGTCTACCGTTCCACAGCACCAATGGATCAGCAAACTTTTCGGCTTCGACTTCACCGTGGAGTACCGCCCGGGCCGCCTCAACACCGTGGCGGGCGCTTCTATCGCGGCGGTGAGGCGGTGGTGCACATACCATCGCTAGACGCCCTCGAGGCAGCGGTGGGCTGTGTCAAGCCGCCGTTTGACCTCCTCGGCGCCATCGAGCGCTTCGACCACGACGCCGGATGGCGGTAAGCTCTGCTGCGGCAGCTCTGGGGCGGGGGAGCTCGTGGAGCCGTGGGCGCTGGACAGCGGCCTCCTCCTCCACGGGTCTCGTATCTTCGTCGTTGGATCACGGGGACCTCCGCCACCAGGTCCTCCTGCTGGCCCATGCCGCCGGCCATGAGGGGACCTAGAAGACGCTGCACCGCCTCCGTGCCGAGTTCTACATTCCGCGGGACAGGGGCTTTGTGCGTGACTTGGTGCGTTCCTGCACCACGTGCCAGCGCAACAAGACGGAGGCGTTGCAGCCAGCGGGACTGCTGCAGCCCCTCGACGTGCCCTCCCAAGTTTGGGCGGACATCTCGATCGATTTCATCGAGGGGCTGCCCAAAGTCGCCGGCAAGTCGGTTATCCTCACCGTCGTCGACCGTTTCTCTAAGTACGCGCACTTCATCGCGCTCGGGCACCCCTACTGCGGCGCGTTGGTCGCCCGTGCTTTCTTCGGCGGCATTATGCGGCTCCACGGGTTCCGCTCTCCATCGTCGATGGCCGGGACCCGTGTTCATCGGCCATGTGTGGCGGGACCTTTTCCAGATGGCGGGCGTCAAGCTCCGCATGAGCACCGCCTTCCACCCTCAGACGGACGGCCAGTCGGAGGTGGTCAACAAGGTGATTGCCATGTATTTGCGCTGTGTTACAGGTGACCGGCCTCGAGCGTGGGTGGGTGGTACGCCGTGGGCGGAGTATTGCTACAATACTTCTTTCCATACTGCCCTCGCGCGCCACGCCTTTCGAGGTCGTCTGATCGACCACCGCCCCCCATATTGCCGTACCAGCGGGAGCGGCTCGTCTGCGAGGCCGCATGACGCGCCATACTCCGGCAGCGGCGACGAGATGCTTTCGGCCGAGGTCCGTCGGCGGCTCCTTCAAGCCCAATGACTCTCCAAGCGCTACTACGACGCCAACCACGGGGATGTGGAGTTCGAGGTAGGCTCGTGGGTGCAGGCTGCGTCTCCTTCACCGCACGCGCAGCGGTCCCTCGACCCTCGCTCCAAGCGCAAGTTGGGGCCGCATGGCTGGCGGGCCGTTCAGCGTCTTTGGAGCGCATCGGTCGCATCACCTACCGCCTCCAGCTGCCCGATGACACCCGCATCCACGATGTTTTTCATGTGGGCCTCCTGAAGCAGCACCGCGGCGATCCCCCCACTGCCGCCGGTGTCTTGCCACCGGCTTTGGATGGCCGGCCCCTGCCCGGTCGGAGCAGCATACCTGGCGGCCTCAAGGCCTTGGGGTGTTTGGAAGATCTTGATCAAGTGGCGGCGATGCGCCGGCCAGATGATGCAACGTGGGAGTCACTCGAGGAGTTCGCGCCCGAGCACCCGATTTCGGCTCGAGGGCGAGCTGTTTTGTAGGCGGGAGAGATGTTATGACCGGCATCCCCTACCGCCGTGCATTGACTAAGGGCTAGGAGGAAGCCGGCCATCAGAGGGCTATGGCCCATATAATTGTCGCAATTATAGTATTTGTTAACACTGGATTTTGGTCAATTCTGGAAGATGACAGGTGGACCCACATGCAGGAAGAAGAGTGTTCGGCAAATAACGCAAGCGGTCGGCTAAATGCTTGTGCGGTCGGTTATTCGGAAGGCGGTAACTCCATTCGGGAAGCGAAGATGGCAAGCAAAGCCGATCGAGAAGATGAAAGTTGTAATAATAAAGGACTACGAGAGTTTGGGGCAAGGAATCGTAGTTTCCAAGTTTATTTAAAGAGTTCCTTTGTAAATCGTAGTCTTTTAGGACTCGTGTTTCGTCTAGGGTATAAATATTGACCCTCGACCATTGTAATAGGCGTTCACAACCAAATCAATACAACCGGCCCGTGCCAACTTTCGAGTCCTTTTGTCGCGGTCGTCGAGTTCTTGAGAGGAGTCATCGATCCGTCGACCTCCGTAAGTTCCGACAACCTTGTTATCATGTTTAGTATCATGCGGTGGATTTAGGCGTGATGCAAGTAGTCTTGTTTGTTTTCAATGATCGTATGGCGGATCTTTGCTTGACAATCAAGAAGTCTTTGCTTATACTTTGTTTATGAGTAGATATCGTGCGGCGGCGTTTGCTCAATATGCTTAGTGGAAGCAAGGCGGTTATCGGCTCTATTAGATTACGGCAAAATCTAAATAGATTCATCAAGTTATCTGTGTTGCATGTTTTAAATATTTTATATATTTGTAACACACTTTTGCCCAATCTAGATTGATATTGTTCGGCCCTCTTCTATGGTTTTATTCGAGTTTCAATGATCATTACTTTCATAATACCTTTGCAAATAGATAACATGCTCGTAATGGCTGAATTATTTTAATCTAGATTGTCACATGTTGTGGGTTCATGTATGTTAATCACGTTTAAGTTTTTGGCGAAACTAGGTGTCGTCGATGCGGTGAGCCTTGAGTTTTAGATTGGCTTAATCGTGTTTATCTACGTTCCTTCTTCATGGACCCCAACTCAATTTGGATTCTTTGAGCTTGGATATGCATTAACGCATAATCAATTTCACTTGTTCAAACATGTCTTCCCATGCATATGCATTCGGCAATCGAGATCTTTACGTATGTCCATCCTACGATTAGTAGAATGATTTATAAACTTGTTGGCGACGACTTCCTATAATGTATGTCGTTGTGAAAGTAACCAGAGGGCCGTATATACGGGCTATGCTGGTCTCACCCGACATGTTCCGGTTTGACATTTAACTATTTTATCCTTATCGGTTTCTTTCGGTCAAAAGACCGGTAGCGCGTTCCGGATCACGAAGCACCCGGGCACCGATTGAAGCCACGCTTTTGGCTTTGTGTAAGTGACGCAGTCGTCACATTTTGTGTCAACACACTTTTTAGCACGCCGGTGGGACCATCTGCTAGTTCAAGATGGCATACGAGATCAACAATGATCATGTTCGGATGTAAGCATGGCAGAATTACGAGATAATTACAAGGATTTAGTGCTACAAGCGTGTGAGCAATACCAACGGAAGTGCTTGATGTCTTTTTTCAAAAACAAGAGCAATAAAGTATTTCAAAAGCGGTCAATGCCAAGGGTTCTTCTTCCGCATCAAACCTGATTACCTTTGAAGGAGGATGCTCGGAAGATGGCAGCCCTGGTTTATAAAGCTATGGGAGAAACCATGACAAACCATCACACGACTTTTACGAATACCTTTCGGGCAATCATGATCAGTACTTTTGGCCCAATGGTTGATAAATACTTGAGGAAAATGTTGGACCACTTAGTGGGCGGCGCTTTCAATGTTCCAAAGCATCAAGAGAAGCTGTTGGAAAGGAAGTAGCGTCGCCTTCAAATATAGGTGGATTGACTCACCTTTGAAAAGCAATCACATCCCACTTATGGCGAGATGACATTTGGTACCACGGAGAAGTGCCACTTTCAGCTTATAGAGTTTCTCCGGCATCAAATAGATTCTGAGAAGAATATGTATGGAGATGGATATCAAGAATTTACCGATTCTGGTGCTATCAATTTGTGCCAAACCTGAGGTATAGAAGTGTTTGAGATTGCCTACGGAGTGCAAGTACAAGGAAACCGGGATCCGGTATTGATGTTTTTGATGCAGGATGGCTGATATGATGCGAGAATCGGTTCGGCTTGAAGCCAAAGAATCAATCCTATTCATACAAATCTCCTTATCGAGAATGGTACAGCAGTGGCATTGCCTCCAAGGGTGAAGCCTCCAGCAGATTTGACCAAGTTTTCTGGTCAAGATGATACTAGTACCATAGAGCACATCGATTCGGTGCTTAATAAACTTGGAGAAGGCGCCCGGATGAAGCATGGAGGATTCGATATTTTCCTTTGTCTCTTCTGGGACCGGCTTTCACA